AGTGTCACTGAGGATAATAATCTGTGATGATATATCAATCGTTATTATCACCCTGTTGTGATGAGGTTCCAACAGTCACAAGCAGTTCCTTTTCTCGCTTCTACACTTTCCCGTACTTTGCTTGCTTGCCATTGGAACATGAGCATCTCCGCATTTACGCATTTACCCATCCGTGACCGTCAGACGTGTGTGGTCTGGTGGTAATAAATGGACGGAGGGCCGACTTTCCATGCACCATTGAAATGGGGCTTGAGGCCGCCAATGTTCCCACTCGTGCTCATGTGCTCCACGCACTTACGCCTCTTTGGGATCCCCGGCCGAGGTGGTGGGGACGATTTGCTAGTGAGTCGACGCTGGGATTCGCCCTCGCCATCTGACTGTCTCTCGAACTAAGCTCCGATCCAACAGCATCCAGAGTCTCCACTCCCCAAATTGAGGAATAAATGGCACAATATTTTAGTATATGTATTGTCGATACCTGTCTTGTATTGATCTCAATATCCGTCCTCCTCCTCCTCCTTCTTCTCCTCCTCCTCCTTCTTCTTCTCCTCCTCCTTCTTCTTCTCCTCCTCCTTCTCGTCCCAGTCTCTTACTAACGTAGATGTCCGCATTAAAGAGGTACGTACAGACTAGTAGGATGGTAGGAGTAATAGTAGTAAGGTACGGCGTAGTGGTATGGTACAGACTCCGTAGTATCTACATGTATTATAGTAGTCCGCAGGGTGTTCCACCTCCCGTTGGTTTTTGGTCTCCGCTCTCTCGAATTTCTAAACTGAATTGGAACTGAGATGTGCACCGCCGGCGCCAATCTGCTTTCTTTGCCGCCCCAGACTAGAAAGTCTACTCAGCATTGATGGTGCATAAGATGGTAAGAAATAATGACAATCACCGGTTGGAGAAAATAGGATTTCCTATTCCACCTCCTTCCCCCCCCCCCCTCCCCTCCCCTTCTCCTCGGCCCTCTCTCTCCGCTTTCCATTGTTCCCCGAAATTTATTCAAATCATCATCCAGAAAGTCTAATATGGAAACGTTCAGAAAATAGAGCAAGAGACACTTTACACACAAAATTTGGAAGAGAGAGAGAGAGACGAGAGGAGAAAAGAAATTGAAATTGAAATTCAAATCTTCTGAATACACTGTCAAAGACATGATCGAAGACAGCCAAAGCAAAATAACATATGACACAGTACCTTGTCCGGCAGATTTATTAGATGATTTATTAGTCTTATATTACAATTACGACTATTATAGAACTGATTGCTCTCGACTTTCCTACTGGCACCACCACCCTAAAGTAAAGTTCCATGCAGGCCCATCTCACCCCAAAAAGGCTCGCCAGGCTAAAAAGTACGGCTCCAGTCCTACTGCTCACTACGTACGGCGCTACTACCTCGTAGCACAAGCAGATCAGTCGCTCTTTTATCCACTGCCCATCCTTCTGGCCGTCTTTTCCTCTTTCCATATCGGCCCTGTCTCTCATTTTCCCCGCGACTGTCCTCCTCGTCCCTCAAATTAATCTTCTTTATTTCTTTCTTTATTTTATTATTATTCTGTTCTTTTATTATTATTTTATTTCATTTTTGCCCTTTTTAGACTCGTCTCGGTCCTCATCTGGTCGTCCTCTCTTCTTCCCTTCTTTTTTATCTCTCTAGTCTTAATTCCCCTCCCTCTCGCTCTCTCTTTCATTTGCGTCTTCAGTCTTTCGGTTTCCTTTATCGAGCGCGTTCTAAACCGACTTCATTCTCTGGTTTGGATCGTATCGATTAGAGGTGCCTGTCCTTCCTTCAAATAGACTTGCGATACAAGCATCAGATATAATACCACCACAACCACCACAACCACCACGAACTATCGTTCTTCGCATCAATATCACAGCGCTGTCTCATTCACTCACTCCTTCAAGTGCAAGAGACTATCAACATTCTTTCCAACACTGTCGTTCTTGATATAGACGACTTCTTATCGCTTAGTGGTCCCGACTACAAGACAGAAAGCTTCGCGCAGTCCAATAGTCCGGGTATACTAACCCATTGATATACTTATTCTAATCACATTTAGCAGAGTAGATCAGACTCTACTCGCTTGTGCAACCACAACACTTCACAATCTGTGAGTCTGATCTCCAAATATATGTGTTCTGGAGACCAAGGGCTGACTCAAGGATGGTAACCAGCTACACTCACAATGGACGCAACATACACAATGGCGCCGACATCGGTGCAAGGGCAACCGTCCTTTGCATACTACCCAGCTGCCGACTCGCAGCCCAGACAACACTTCACCAGTCACCCTTCAGATATGCAACACTTTTATGGTCAAATGCAACCGTTCTCCCACGCCCAACAACAACACCACCAACACTGTGTGCCGGATCAGTCTCTCTATACCGCTCAGTCTGTCATGAACATGCACCAGATGGCTACGACGAATGCCTTCCGGGGTGCGATGAACATGACGCCTATCGCTTCTCCTCAGCCGTCCCACCTCAAGCCCACCATCGTCGTGCAGCAAGGCTCACCAGCTCTGATGCCTCTGGACACAAGGTTCGTAGGCAACGACTACTATGCCTTTCCCTCCACTCCGCCGCTCTCTACAGCCGGTAGCTCTATCAGCAGCCCGCCTTCCAGCATCGGTTCCCTCCACACGCCAATCAACGACAGTTTCTTTGCTTTTGAGAAGGTTGAGGGCGTGAAGGAAGGCTGCGAGAGCGACGTTCACGCTGAGATCCTAGCCAATGCCGACTGGACTCGCTCGGATTCGCCTCCCATGACACCTGGTACGTACTAGTTCTTGACTCTCTTCAGAAAGATCCGTTAGCGGCCTACACCACGCGCTGCAAGAGTGCAAAATGGCATTGGTGGATGGTCAGTAGTCTAGGGCTATTCGGTGAAACTAACTCAACTTGTTCTAGTGTTCATCCACCCCCCTACATACACCGCCTGCCAGACCTCGGAGCTCTTGTCTGCCACTAGCTCTTGCCCATCCCTGTCTCCATCGCCATCCCCTGTTGCTTCGACCCTGATTGTCCAGCCCCAGTCCGCTCTTCCTCTTGAACAGTCCAACTCGGACTTCTGCGACCCTCGTCAACTCACTGTCGAGTCTTCAATCAATGTTACTGAGTTGCCGCCTTTGCCCACTCTTGCATGTGACGAGGAAGAGTCGAGGGTTGTCCTGGGTGGTGAGGCTGTAACACTTCCGGTTCACGAGAACCTCTCCCCTGTGTTCTCTTGCTCCTCGGAGGATCCCCTGAGCAGCCTACCCACCTTTGACAGCTTCTCGGATCTGGACTCCGAAGACGAATTTGTGAATCGCCTGGTTGACTTCCACCCCAGCGGCAACGCTTTCTACCTGGGTGAGAAGCGGCAGCGTGTTGACTCCTACTCCCTTGATGAGGAAGAGTTCTTCAGTGAGCAGAGCTTTGACGAATCAGACGACCAGGATCTGTCCCAGACCAGCCTTCCATTCCTTGGTGGCTCCGATTTCTCCGTCCAAGCTACTGTCAGTGACGCTGCTGAGGAGATGAGAACGAAGAAGCGCAGTAACTCCCGCAAGTCACCCAAGAGAGCTGGCTCCGAGAGCGACGCGGACTCTCTGCCCAAGAAGGCACAGGTTTCCGCTAGTGAGTCGGATTGCACAGCTGCCCAAGTATCTTGCCAGACCCGCCACAACTCGGATGCTAGCATGTCTAGTTGCTCTGATGCGCCGACTGCCCCGGTCTCCGTGAACCGCCGTGGTCGCAAGCAGTCGTTGACAGATGATCCTTCCAAGACCTTCGTGTGCACTCTTTGCTCTCGCCGCTTCCGTCGTCAGGAACACCTGAAGCGTCACTACCGCTCCCTGCACACGCAGGACAAGCCTTTTGAGTGCAATGAGTGTGGCAAGAAGTTCTCCCGCAGTGATAACCTGGCCCAGCATGCTCGCACGCATGCTGGCGGATCCCTGGTGATGGGTGTTATTGATACCAGCAGCACATCCTCGCAGTCTCCTTTCGAGGATCACAGTCCCAACACCATGGGTGCGGTTCTCTATGAAGCTGCCAATGCTGCCGCCAACAAGTCGACGACCAGCGACTCGTCCGATGAGAGCATTATCGAGACGCCATCTGCTGATCGTCGAGCCCCCAAGAAGCGCAAGCGTGACGCGGATGCTTGATTAGGTCGTCGACTTGGTTTCGAAGCCATCATGATGATATGTGACCAGGAGCTCCCCTATATCACTTAATCATATACTATAAATGACCAACCATTTCCATGGTTGGTCCAACTGGGTCTCTTACGGTTTGGCGTCCGGGTTTTGATTCTGGCGGCGACCAGGAAGGTACAGGTGCATGGATTATTTTTTATTTTTTGAACGGTCCTTGGAGTCGAATCTCCCGAAATGCGACTTCGAGGCACCAATTTTGGCGAAGCATTAGACCGGCGGCAAAGGAACTTGGGCGCACAACATTTGGGAGTCCACGGTTGGACCAAAACTATAGAGCGCGTGCATGATGACTCTACACTGAGGCACTGGTGATTTTGGGTTGATTTCCTTTCTCTCTCGTCCCCCTCTTATTTCTACTCTCTCTGACAAACATCCTCAACTCGATTGCGAATGGCCGACTCGGACCACCAGACTTGGTCCAGTCGCTTGTTTTCGTGTACCCTATTCCCCCCTCCCCAAACATTCTCCTTTTTCATCTCTTTTCTTCTACATACTTCTCGTTGATTTACCCTTCTGTGTCCACAATTTCCACCTACCCTGTTTTGTTCTGCTCCTGTGCAGTACTGTGCTGGCCACATGTATACTTTAATATTGATCCCCAATCGTTGCCTCATACCCCTGTGCGCATACCCCCTTTTCTTTCCTTCTCTGTCACTTGTTGCATCTACATTGTGCATAATAACCCCATATCTGCCCTTCATGTGTTGAGCGTGCCATTCGTTCTGCAGCATAGCTTGTGATAATTGAGAATTGTGAATCATCAAGATCCCATACTGTAGTCGTTTGCTTTCTTGTAGACAGACTGAATTTGGGGGTATACTGAGTAGTTCGCTGGTCTTGGAAAAACCCGCATTTAGCTTATCTTAGCAGCACTCCGCCTCGGCAGATCTTAAAGTCACCCACTTCACTTGATCTTCTAACAAATTTCTGCTTGGAGAGTGCTTGTCGGATCTTGAGTTGCCCTTTGATTTCAGGCCAAGCGAGCATTACTAACCAATAGTCTTTCTCTGATGCTCGACCCAGTCGCTCTGCTGCGTGCCTACCTTCATCCCTAGATTTGGCGAATACTGTCTGCGGGGTGCCCGAATCCGACCACGGAGAAAAAGAGCTTCGACCCCTCATTAACAGCAGCCTCCATCCAACACACTCTTCCTTGTCGAACACGCATACTACACCAGTCACTATGCCACCTCAATCGCACCTCCAACCACCATCGCCGCCGGCTCCAGGCGCTGGTCTTAATGTGATCGCCCTCATCTCCGGCGGGAAAGACTCTCTCTACTCGCTCCTCCACTGCATCCGCAACGGCCACAAAGTGGTCGCATTAGCGAACCTCCACCCCGCCGCCAATGCGCAGCCAACAAACACCACCAGCACCGACTCATCACCAGTATCATCATCGAATCCGCTACAACATGTCCCGGAAGAAGAGGAACAAGACCTGGACAGCTTCATGTATCAAACCATCGGCCACAGCATCATCCCCCTCTACGAGACCGCCCTCGGCATCCCGCTGTACCGCCAACCCATCCGCGGCGGCGCGGTCGACACCTCCCGGATCTACCGCTTACAAGCCGAGGACCAAATGGCGGACTCTCCCGGCCGTCAGGACAGCAACAACAGCAACAACAACAACAACGACGCGAACAACGCCGAGGAACAAGAAGATCAGGAGGAGGCCGACGAAACCGAATCCCTGATCCCGCTGCTGAAACGCATCATGCAGGCCCACCCGGAGGCCAACGCCGTCTCCGCCGGCGCAATCCTCTCGACGTATCAGCGCACCCGCATCGAGAACGTGGCCGCCCGGCTGGGGCTGGTGCCCCTGGCGTGGTTGTGGCAGTACCCCGTGCTGCCGGATCGGCGGGCGACGGAGGCCGGCCTGCTGGAGGATATGGCGGCGGCTGGGTGCGAGGCGCGGATCATCAAGGTTGCGTCGGGCGGGTTGAATGAAGGGTTCCTGTGGGGGGATGTGGCGGCGGCGGATGGGCGGGTGCGGGGTCGGATTGTCAAGGGGATGAGAAGGTTTGCGGACGCGGAGGATATTCGTGGCGCCGTGTTGGGGGAGGGCGGCGAGTATGAGAGTCTGGCGCTGGATGGGCCGGCTTGGTTGTGGAGGTGTCGGATTGAGGTTGCTGGGTGGGAGGCTTGTGCTGGGGATGGTGGGGTGGGGTTTGTGAGGTTGAAGGGGGCGAGGTGTGTGGGTAAGGATGGGGAGGGCGACGGTAAGGGTGATCGGGGCGGTCCGGAGAGTGTCAGGCGGCCGGATTTGTTCGATGAGGGGTTTGAGGAGGTTTTGGGGTCTGTCTTGGGGGCTGAGGGTGCGTTGGTTGCTACGGGGGACGAGGAGGAGGAGAGGAGCTTGCATAGTGCGGGCTCGAGGGTCTGGAGTGAAGGGCTTGATTCGGTTCAGACTACGGATGGGAGGACGTGGGCGATTGCTAATGTCACGGCGCCTGAGGCTGGTCCTGGCGCTGCTGAACAGATGAAGGCTATTGCTGAGAAGATTCAGACGATTCTGCGCTCCTCCTCGAGCCGTGAGGTTCCTCGGACGACGGCCGATATTGTCTTCACTACGGTGTTGCTTCGCTCTATGTCAGATTTCCCCCTGATGAACTCCATCTACGTCTCGATGTTCAAGAAGCCAAACCCCCCGGCGAGAGCTACGGTCGCCTGTGGTGCTAGCCTCCCAGAAGGCGTGAATATCATGGTGTCGGCGGTGGTGGACTTGGGTTTGAGGGAGCAGCGGCAAGGCCTTCATGTCCAGTCGCGTTCTTACTGGGCCCCCGCCAATATTGGGCCATACTCGCAGGCCATGTCGATACCTCTGCAGGGCCCAGAGCAATTGGTGTACATCGCTGGTCAGATCCCTCTCGAGCCGGCCTCGATGGAGATATATGGCCTCGAGGAGACGTGGTTCAAGGGTTTTTCTTCGCGAGCGGTCCTGTCTCTTCAACATCTATGGAGGATCGGTGTGGCTACCAACGTGGACTGGTGGTTGGGAGCTGTCGCTTTCCTGACGGGAGCCGATCATATCAAAAAGAGAGCCAAGATAGCTTGGAATTTGTGGGAAACAATGCACCACAATCAGGAAGAGGAAGAGGATGCCGACGACGAGTCGGGTCTGGATGCGTGGGACCTCAAGTATGGTGGACGAGCCCACGAGCAGGTCAAGGGTGTCTCGAAACCCGGACTACCGCGGTTCGACGTGGTGCAGTCGGAGGGATCTATGATCCCTGCTTTCTTCGCCGTGCAGGTAGAAGAACTGCCTCGAGGAAGTGATATTGAGTGGCAGGGACTCGGTTTCCGATGCGATCAACTCAAAATAACCACCGAAGAACTGGAGTTTGGACGCCAGACCGTGGTGACCACTGGCCAGGATTTGGGCTACATCGGCATCGAGGTGGATGCGAAATGCTCTGGGCCTGACTTCGAGTCTTGCCTCCGCTCGATCCTGCAGAAATCCACGCAAGGGTCGAAGAGCCCCCATATAGTCATATACACGACCCAGCCATTGTCCAATGATCCCTCCTGGGGTCAGATCGTTCCCTGCAAATCGGCTTGGGGATCGAAGGGTCGGCAGCTGGCCGCGGGGGTTATCGTCCAAAGGCAGAAGCCGTCTGCATAAAGAGCTAGGACTCGGAACGAAAGGATCCGTGTGACTTCACGGTTGCATGCGCATAGCAGTATGATACCGTTCATGTCGTTTTAGAATAAGAACACTGTACATATAGCATCTTGAGTGTTGATGCCAGGAAGTGGCTTTCAGGTGAAGACAACTGTGGCCTCACCTCACTTTTATCGAAGAGTGATTTGACATCTGCTGTAAGCCGATAGCGATAGGGTCAGATGAGATCAATCGGAACAGTCCGATGGGCTGACTGCCGTACCCGATTAGATTTCAGGGCCTTATGACCAAGATACTAGGTAAAAGGCCCTGAGAAGAAAGGGGTTCAATCCTTTATTACCATCTCCTGATGCACGCCTGACGTGCTGAGTCGGCATGTGATTAGCGAAAAAACCCGCTCCCGCCTGTTGGATCCTCCGATCTGATCAGCTCTCGATAACAACTTCCACTCAACCTGTCATCCTTCCTCCTTCTGCGCCCCAACACTTCCCCACCACCACCACCACCACCACACGCACCATAGATTCAGGGCCAATTCTTTCGGTATGACTACTGTTTTTCAAGCGTGCTATATTACACATGTTGTAATGACTAATTTCGACTATGCTCTATAGTCCGTCCTTTCTTGAACCCTGACCTATGTTTATCGACATGACGTACGCGCTCTAAGAACAGAACCGGACGGTCTGACCAGCAAACACCTATGACCTCTACACAGAGCCAGGAGGAAGATGGGCTACTTCCCAACAAAGATCCTGCATCGGACCCTGAAGCTCACGATAATCTACGACAATTCTCCCGATCCCCCCATCCTTACACTCGTCCGGGTTCGCACTGTCCCTCGCTGCCTGTGGATCCCGGCGACCGAGCGAAGCCCTCCCGCTGGCCCCGGACCTCGAGTGATAGCGGCACAGAAGCCGACGATGAGAGTACAGGTCTTTTAAGAGGGTTGCCGGCCCCTCCGCTGCGACCGCGAAAAGGATTGCGTTCGAGTATTCATGGCGCAGGCGAGATCGATCAGTGGCTCCCCATCTTGCGCCCGTGGCCGTCGATAACACGGTCCACCTCGCGGAGTTCGCGGCGGAGTTCTGGAGAGGATGCGGAAGTCGGGCCAGCCGAACTACGTGAACAGGAATACCGCAGAAAACGGGTTGCCATCCTACAAAGGCTACTGGAAACCGCACTACTGCTCTCAGTGGGTGTTGTTGTCCTGGGACAGGAGAGCGCGAGAGTGGCCGCTTGGGCCTGGAAAAAAGGTGCGCGGACATCTTCCCCGTGTGTGTGAGAGGCCTGGACTCACCTCTTGACTAACCCGGTAAACACTTGCAGAGCTTGCCACCTTTTTGGTCATCGTGATCGGTCTCTACACCGCATATCCTCTGCATCGCGACGGCCGCCTGCGACTTTCTCGCCTGTTCACCTTTGTCGTCCCTCCCGCCTTCGATCCCGCTCCGTTGCTTTACCCCGTATTGATACCCATCTACGTTTCGCTGTCTCTGGCGCATCACAATCCTTCATTGATACTGCCTAATATTCTTCTCAGTCTTTCATCTCTCCCTGTCAAAGTCGTTCCGCTGCGCGAATGGATCCACGGTTGTAGTGTTGTCCATTGGCTGGTCACATTGATCCCGATTGTCGTTTCGGAGCATCTGTCGGCAGGTCCTTCATGGCCGAAACCACTAACTCTTCGTGGCCTGGACGCGGAAGTCTTGACTCTTATTTTTCCTTTCCATCAAGCGTTGATACCCACTCTAGATTTCTTGTTGACTACCAGCATCCTTCCCGCAGAGCTGCAGCTTCTAACCACCGTTTTAATCAATCTCTACTTATTTGCAACATCCCCCCAGGCCGAAATCCTCAAGGCGTTGCTATGGCTGGGAGGCATGTGCACCTTCATCGCTTGCCGGGGTGTGCTACGATGGGAGGTTGCCTTGGCTCGAATCCCGACCTGGAAGTTCCGACGCTCCCCTAGTGCTTCGCAGTCGCCTCGCAGCATCTTCAATGCGATCGATCACAAACTCTGCCAAAAGCTCAGCAGAACAGGCTCCTCGGAAGATAATCTTTCTGATAGTGATTCGGCCGATGGGGGCTATGTGCTGGTCTCCCGCAAAACGATGTTCGACTCGCGCGACAAGACGCTGTCCTACGGGCTAAGTATCGGCAAGCACAACAATACGGGCATGGAGGGTACTCGCCGGCGATTCCGTACCGCGCATCGTCGACGACACACCTTTTCGAGCTTCGACGATGTCAAACGAGCGGAGAAAGTTAGGACGACACCGGGAGGTCGCAAGAAGCGATCAATGGCGCCCGGACTAGCCTCCTTCCTATCACTTACTGTACCTCAAGCACAAGTCCGGAAATGGCTGTATGCCCTGTATGTTTACATTGCCGTTCTGATGATTGTCATGGTGCCCGTCCGGTACTATGTCAGTGATCGAGCATTGCAGAATGGAGAGCCCTTCGGGTGGGCATTGGGGTACCTCTTCGGTAATATATCTGGGTTTAGGTTTTGGGTGCTTATGTGGGGTTTGGAGTATTGGATACCTCTTCCAGCTCGTCTGGATAGCGACCCCTCCAATGCATCATGCCCGTTTGGCTGGGTTGAACATCTGCGGCAAGATACGTTCGGGGAGGCTAATTCGCGCCTCCTAATTGCTGCCTATTGCATCCTGGTACTTGTGACCGGCCTGGCTGTTGTGCTACAACTCAGTCCCATCGCAGAGGTCGACACCCGACGCAAGGTTTTCCACGGGATGATGGTCTCGATGTTCCTTCCGACCATTTACATTGACCCCCTGTTCTGTGCTCTCGCGTTGAGCCTCGCCTTGGCTATCTTCCTGCTCCTCGACTTGTTCCGAGCCTCTCAGCTGCCACCGATCTCCCGGCCGCTGACGTATTTCCTGGCGCCCTACGTGGACGGTCGCGATCATCGCGGTCCCGTCATTGTCTCCCATATTTTTCTTCTCATTGGATGCTCGATCCCCTTATGGCTTTCCCTGGCCGATGTTCCTCGGACAGGAGAGTATCCATGGGAGGGTTGGGACGTAATGAGTCGCGATGTCAGCATGGTGAGCGGCATTATCTGTGTCGGGATGGGCGACGCGGCGGCCTCCCTCATCGGTCGCCGGTTCGGCCGGCGAAAATGGTTCTGGGGCGGGGGGAAATCGTTGGAGGGCAGCGTGGCTTTTGCAGTCGCTGTAACCAGCGGGCTGATTGTTGCACGAACCTGGCTTACCCTGGGCCAATGGTCCACGGACGGAAGTGACGGGACGAATCTCATATACCCCTGGCTCCCGATGGTGTTCAAAGCCATTCTCGCAGCCGGCGGGACAAGCGCAACCGAAGCTATTCTGACCGGGTGCAATGACAATGTCGTTGTACCGGTCGTGCTGTGGCTGTTGGTGAGAGGGCTTGGCATTTAATGCGGTTGACTTCGGATCTAGTAACGATTACAGCATGCTTTGGTGGAGCGCTTCTGCCGATGTCTGCTTTGCTATATACCCCATAAGACGAAGCGCTGCAAGCTTGGGTGGATTCGTGGTGTTTCCCCCCCTTGCTTTCAACTTTCTCTTCTCAATTTCTATTTTCTACGGTTACCTTGTGTGTCATCCCTTATTCAATTAATTATCGCGAGCGAATGGATAGAATCATCAGCCTGATGGTGATGACGTGGAAGACTGTCCTCGCGGGTCATGGCGTGCTCCGCTTGTGAATAACCAGCCCATTATGCGCCAACACTATGTAGATAGGTAGCTTCGAGTGAGTGCCAGAGGCAAACCCCTCCCCACAATCAGGCAGCACCCTAGGAAGACCCATTCGCTGCATGCATGATGGTCTGAGAGAAACAGTTTCGTACCTGAATCGTACTTTGTTGTTGTCCGCTTGTGATTAGCCTAGCTAGCCTACTTTAAGTCACTCTAGCTTGAGAAGCTAGGAAGACTCGTCCGACAAGCTCAGGGAACGGTGCTGTGCGCCGGGCGGGTTTGAGCTGTGTCGATCGCCACCGACTGAGCGTCTCTACTATGACCAGACAGGTTTAGCGGGGGATCAGCCAGCAAGATCAGGCAGCGGGTAGAGATTTGGGTGGACAAGGCTTTTTGCCTTTTTGCCCCATCAATGATCATAGAGTAGCTTATCAACCCGCCTACGATCCCGGGTTCCTTGAAGGGAGGAGGGAGGCGGGGAGGGGGGCTCTCGCGGCAAGTGGCAAGGTCGGATGGGCACTGCAACTGGGCTCTCCGGGGTCTTTGTTGGTAAGCAGCCGCGTCCGGAGAGGTAGAGGAGGCGGGGAGAAGAGGAGGAGGAGGAGGAGGGGGAAAAAGAGAGACAAGAGGATTGAGTCATTTGATGCGCCATTCATTCGTCTTATTAGGCGAGAGTGCGGATTAGCTTGTTGGGTGATTTGCTTGATTTTAGGTTGAGGGAAACATCGGGTGTCACTGACATTGACCCAGAAAAGTACCTTTGAGTAACAAGTAATTACCAACTTAACAAGTAACTTGATTTTTGTTTAGGGAGAGAAAAAGTGACGGGAAAGTGGTTGAGTCACCAGATGAGGACCGTCAAATTACCAGGTGTACTAGGTAAGTTATGGTAGAGATGACTCGACTCAACTGTGTTTCGCTGATCATTTGGTCTGGGTGCTGATGATGTTGATGGCTGATGATACAGCAAGTGGCTGTGTCGATGGGATAGAGATAACTGTACGGAGACATAGACCATCACATCATAACTTGATCGTGAACTGACGAAAGTGCTCATGTAGATTATCTCACTGGTATGGATGGACATCTGCAGTTGCACTGTACAGTAGGTATAGTATCTACTTCAGTATGAGTATGTGGCCCTCTGATGGAGAAGAAAGTGATGATTGCATCAATCCATGTCTCGAGGACGGATACTTTCCCCAGGCAATCCACTTGTTATCGCCTGTCCCCGGATTCATCCTGTTCCGGCCGCGTCTTATCTCTCCGTCTTGCCTTTCTCAAGGCTGTCAGGGCTGCAGTGGGAGATAGCAGGAACCTAAGTTTCCATGAACTGTAGGGTAGTACTGTACTGTACACCTCCCCCTTAATCGAAGCATGATGCAGACAACCTTGGTATCTCGATGTCTTCTCAGTCTGTAGTACATCGTCAGTCTGTATTGTATGTCTCCGAGAACAATCACTAACTTATCCAGGACGAGTAGGTAAGGTAAGGGTGATGACGGTGGACTGGGAAGTACTACGCCTAATGGGTAATGTGGAGATTGTCACTGGGTGGCCATTGGCCGGGACAATCTATTCGAGGACATGCCGCCCTCCTGACCGCCTTTGTTCTTCTCCGAAGGTCATTCATGATCTTATCGGCGGTCACGCTCCTCAGTCCAGTCCAGTCCCTCTCTCTCCCTTCAGGCTGTGAGTGACTGTCTCTTCTATTCCTACCTACTCAATACAACAATTCTTGCATGTCCCACGGGTCCAGCTGCTGTTCCCGCCTTTCCACCTTCCCCCGTCAATCACATCATTCTCTCTTTACTACTACTCTCCTTCTACCTTTCCTCCCCCCCCCTTCTTCTTCCCATTCTTCAGTCATCGCTCCTCCATCCCTTGTCGTTGTGAGTGACTTTGAAACTTATCTACAAACCTACTCTTTCTTCTCGTTCTTTCTTTTTTTCCCTTCCTGCAAGCCACGGTCTTGTTTGCTATCAGTCCTTCGGTTACTTCCACGCCTCGATCTACACGACATACTTCGTCTGCCGAAATTAGTATACGTCTATCAGCACTGCACCAACAGCTTAGGCCACACCTCCACCTCCACCCCCCTGTAGCTGTCGCCTCCATCCTATCATACACACCCCCGTCTGTCCGCCTCACCGCTCTCCTGCCTCCTACAGCGCCGACGTCTACTCTCGACCTATCTACTACCACTAAGTCGGTCCCCCCTACACTCAGACCCTATCTAAAGGTAGAACGACGCCTACCTATTCCTTGTCTCGTCGCCTGCGCTCGCCTGCCGCCCTTGCCCAGCGCTTCTTCACTACTTCCACCACTGCCTCCGCGGTCCACCTTAATCCTTCAGCCATATCTATTGCTCTCCTCGTCTTTTCTCTGTCCAACTATTCTCTTATCGCCAACATTCCTCAACCGCTTGCCACTCCTCTGATGGGCCGCATCCATCATACACCGTCGTCATTCTTCCTGTTGAGGTAGTTGTTGTTGGTTAACGGGGCGTCGCTGGGGTTTTGTACACGCATTATCTGCGCCCTGTCGCGATCATGGCATCAACGAGTCATTCGAGGAGGACGAGAGATTCCTCACACGCTGAGATGCCCATCGGCCGCTACACGCGGCTGGACGAGATCGGCCGAGGCAGCTTTGCCACTGTCTACCAAGGTGTTCATACGGTATGTTTACTATGTCGCTACCCGAAACCGCCCTTGGCGGAAGAGGCTGGATCGTTCATCGGCGGTCAAGCTGAAGCTTTGGAGGCTCTTGCTAATCAAGTGTCTTCTGGTAGAAAACCCGCACCTTCGTGGCGATAAAGTCCGTCAACCTGTCCAAGCTGAACAAGAAACTGAGGGAGAATCTGTCGTCAGAGATCCATATTCTCAAGGGCTTATACCATCCTCATATTGTGGCCCTGATCGACTGTCATGAGACGACGTCTCATATTCATCTGGTGATGGAGTACTGTGCTCTAGGTGATCTATCTTTGTTTATTAAGCGACGAGATACCCTAGGCGATCACCGGTATACGCGAGAAATGATCTCAAAGTATCCGAATCCTCGAGGTGGCGCTTTAAACGAGGTCGTCACTCGTCACTTCCTCAAGCAGTTGTCGAGCGCTCTGAAATTCCTCCGGGATCGAAATCTCATCCATCGTGATATCAAACCACAAAACCTGCTCCTTTGTCCATCACCATCATCGTACCGCTCGGGTGCCACCCAGGTTGTACCATTCAAGGGCAGCGAAGATTCATTCAACCCTACGACGGGGCTCGAATCGCTGCCCATGCTCAAGATCGCTGATTTCGGTTTCGCGCGGTCCCTTCCAGCGACGTCGCTTGCGGAAACCTTGTGTGGCTCACCTCTTTACATGGCTCCTGAGATTCTCCGGTATGAGAAATATGACGCCAAGGCTGATCTCTGGTCGGTGGGCACGGTATTGTACGAAATGGTCGTTGGGAAAGCACCCTTCCGGGCTTCGAATCATGTCGAGCTGCTTCGGAAGATAGAGAAGGGTGATGACAGGATCAAGTTTCCCGAGGAGAACCCTGCTTCTGATGAGATCAAGGCACTGATCAGAGCGTTGTTGAAACGCAATCCGGTAGAGAGGCTGAATTTTGCCGATTTCTTTGAGAACGGCATCATCACAGGTCCAATCCCAGGTTTGATAGCCGATGATGCGTCCTCGCCATATCGACGTTCGACTGCTGGCACAACAGCTGCCGAACCAGCGCCTGTACCAGAACCCCGGCCTGAGATTGTTCCTGTAACAGCACCGCCCCGTCAGAAAGAGGTGCCGTATCCTGACGACCGTGTGGAACCTTCCACGTACCCGGTTGCCCGACGCTCGATTGCACCGACTTCGCGTCCCGGTACGCCGAGCACGACTATGCGTAGGACTGGCAGTGCAGATAGACCTTTGTCTATCACCAAGGGTTCTGCAGCAACGACGGGGTATCCGGTGCCAGAAGTAGATCCTCAGGCTCCTCTCCGCCAGGCGCCGAACGATGGTGGTGCAGCAACCTTGCCCGTTGAGCGTCAGCGGAGCCGCACTGCTCCGTCCGGAGTTCCGCAGGTGGACAGGTCTGCGGAAAACGCAAAAGAAGAGCGCGAGCGCGAGCGCGCAGCACAAGAAGTAGCATTCGAGCGAGATTACGTGGTCGTGGAGAAGCGGGCAGTGGAGGTTAATGCTTTTGCCGATGAAATGGCACATAGCCCGCGAATCCAAGGGGGCTTCTCTCGGCCTGGCCAGGGAGGCGTGCTCTCACGACGCCCAGCAACAATGCAGGGCGTACCGACAACTGCAAACATGTCACCCCACGCGTCTCCCAGCAAAGCTATGCAAATGATCTCCGGGCGGCCTCGTGCTGATTCGGCGCACATTCGCCAGAACTCTTATGAGCGGCGATACGGACAGAGCCCGACATCCGCCACGTCGGCCATATCCAAAGCCCTCAACATGGCCAGCGGCCGCCTGTTTGGGATGGGATTTTCACCACCCTTGACAATAACAAAGGGCGGGCGCTCCCCGCCATTGGCTTATAACCCTTTTCCAGCTTATCCCAACCCCCAAACTAGCTTGATCGTCCTCGGAGACAGTACCAAGACGAACGTGGCGTTGGATGAAGATAGCAAGATTGTTCAAGAGCTCGAGGAGTGTGCCACTCGCAGTGATGTTGTCTATGGATTTGCCGAAGTAAAATACAAGCAACTCA